TTTCAAAGGGGAAACAGTTCTCGCCTGTGGAAGTGACGATTCTGCTGGGAACTGCCCCTCCGCTCCCTCGCTCGCTCGCTGGGCCGGCTGGGCGCTGGCGGGTGTGAGGCCAGAGGAAGCCGAGGTTTGGGGATGCGGGTGCTTGGCTGCTGCTTGTCCTCAGCCTCCATGCCGGGCTCGCGGAGCAGCGGACCTGCAGGTCCGGTGCAGTCTCCCTCGCCCCTTCCTGAGAGGCCTCAGGGCGGTTCCGAGCAGCATGAGAGTCGGACTGTTGGGCAGCGGTTGTCCCTCTGCCGCTTGAAGACTGGTGGACACTGTCATCCTCACCACCGCTTGGCAAGGAAGGTTCCTGATGTCAGTTTACAGATGAGGAGACTGAGGCTCGAGGAGTCTGGGTGCCCAGTCAATGTCAAATACCTTTCTTTTTGGTATTTGCTTGGTTGAAAATAGTAGTAATTGATTAGTCACTAGAGGCCGCTGCACGAAATTCGTGCCGGAGTAGGCCTTCCTTCCCCCGGGTGCCGGCACCGGCTCATACCTGGGTGCGTTCACAGCAGCAGCAGAGCCCGTGGTGGGCGGTGGGCGTCCTGCAGTCTCGTAGCTTCTGCCCAGGACCAGAGGGGCCTCCGAGAGCAGGGAGTGTGGGCGCCCAGCTCAGGCCACTGGACCGCAGTGTCCGTCCGGCGTTCGGGTTGGATGAGAGGACGGAGTTGAGCTGCGGCCTTAGGGGCTAGGGCCAGCTGGGGCCCCTCCTTCCCCTGGCTGCCAGCTGCCGGCTGCGAGCCGGGGTCTTCCTTCATTCCATGCTGCCCCCTGGTGGTCAGTTGCGGAGCGGCCTGGTTCCAGGCAGTGAAAGCGTGGGTGTTCTTTTCATCCTAGAGCATCACACGCTCCAGTCCTTAAGGACGGCATCTTGAGAGGAGGTAGTGGCTAAATTTCCGGTCTGTTGAACTCCCAAGGGGACAGCTTGCATATTAGCGTTTTATTATATAGGATTGTTAACAAGCCAGCATTACTGTGGCAAATGCCAGGGTTAGCCCTGCTGCCTCCCGCCGGCCGGCCTGCATCTGCATCTGCGAGGCTCAGGGCAGGGGGAGCGCGGGTCCATTTTCCACCTGTAGTCTGGCGAGAGGCGAGAGGACAGGCCTGTGCGGGGTGGGAATGGCGGCCTGGGGAGACAGGGCTGTGCCCGCTCGAGGCCCAGGTCCTAGTTAGTGGGACGTCCGCGTCCAAGTAAGATTCCTCACTTGATGGCTTGTTGGTTTGTTTGTTTGGGGGGTGGGATGGGGGGTGGGCGGGGAAGCCTGCCTCCCTCGCTCGCTCGCTGGGCCGGCTGGGCGCTGGCGGGTGTGAGGCCAGAGGAAGCCGAGGTTTGGGGATGCGGGTGCTTGGCTGCTGCTTGTCCTCAGCCTCCATGCCGGGCTCGCGGAGCAGCGGACCTGCAGGTCCGGTGCAGTCTCCCTCGCCCCTTCCTGAGAGGCCTCAGGGCGGTTCCGAGCAGCATGAGAGTCGGACTGTTGGGCAGCGGTTGTCCCTCTGCCGCTTGAAGACTGGTGGACACTGTCATCCTCACCACCGCTTGGCAAGGAAGGTTCCTGATGTCAGTTTACAGATGAGGAGACTGAGGCTCGAGGAGTCTGGGTGCCCAGTCAATGTCAAATACCTTTCTTTTTGGTATTTGCTTGGTTGAAAATAGTAGTAATTGATTAGTCACTAGAGGCCGCTGCACGAAATTCGTGCCGGAGTAGGCCTTCCTTCCCCCGGGTGCCGGCACCGGCTTCCCTCCAGCTGCCGGCAGGCACCTGGGACCCAGGCTTCCCTCGAAGCCTGACTTCATCCGGAAGGACATCTGGTCTAATGAGCATATTATGCTTTTATTATTATAGACTCGAGGCCCGGTGTACGAAATGCGTGCATGGGTAGGGTCCCTGGACCTGGCTGGCGATCAGGGCCAGCTGGGGGCCGTCCTTCCCCTGGCTGCCAGCTGCTGGCTGCCGGCTGGGGCCTTCCTTCATTCCATGCTGCCCCCTGGTGGTCAGCGCACATCATAGCGAGCGGTTGAATTCCGGTCTGTTGAACTCCCAAGGGGACAATTTGCATATTAGCATTTTATTATATAGGATTGTTAACAAGCCAGCATTACTGTGTGTTTTGTTTGCGATTCCCAGAAACTGGGCTCTCTGTGAGTGGCTGTGGGAGGTACCACCTGCCCGCTGCACCCGCCCCCCACCTCCCAGCTGTCTGTCTGTCCCGCTGCTGCACAGGTCGTCTCTGACGTTCCGCGGCTTGGGGGCATGTCGGCTTTCTGTGCCTCTTTCTTCTCTGGCAGATCAGCAGTTGGGCTCCCAGGTGACCCTGGAGAACGGGGCTGTGGGTCCTGGCCTGCACGAGGGGCTCTGAGAGGGCAAGCTGGGGCGGGCACCGCGGGGCGGGCAGCCGTGGCACTGAAGTTACGTGACCCCTCCCTTGTCTTCCTCCAGAGAGGCGTGGCCATGGAGGACCTGGGGGAAAACACCACGGTCCTGTCCTCCCTGAGGTCCTTGAACAACTTCATCTCTCAGCGCGTGGATGGAGGAGCGGGCCTGGATGCTGCGGCCTCGGCCCCAGGGTCCCTGCAGATGCAGTACCAGCAGAGCATGCAGGTGAGTGTCGTGGGGAGCGGCTCTCTGGCTGAAGACACCTGTCCGTAGGTGTAGGTGTCGCTCAGGTGAGTGCCCTGCGCGGGATCGGGGTCTCTGACGGAAAACACGGCCCTTCGATAGGCTGGGTCATCCTCATGCCGCGGCCTCGCGTGCCGCTGTGTCTGTGGGTGAGATGCCGTAGGGACGTGGCTCTTGTGTGCCTGCTGCCTGTGGTGAAATTGGTTTCCTTACACGTCGTTTTGCTGAACGTCGTAGGACCCGTGGCCACTGCTGACGTTAAGCGGGCACTTCCTGTAGCTGCGGCAGGTCAGTGTCTCCTCAGCCTAGAGGCCAGCTGGCCGTCTCCCGGGTCTCTAACGTGGGCGTTCGGAGTTTGGGGGACAAAGCGGGAGGGAAGCAGGGTCTGGCCCTGACCCGTCCTGGTTAACGGCCTGACGTGTCAGCAGCGCAGAGCGGGCCTGGTGCTCAGCGTGTGCTCACGGGAATGAGCTCACAGACCCTAGTGACGGGGGTTGGGAAGCTGGCTGTTGGTTTAGTTGAGGAAAACCCACACGGCCTGGCTCCCTCGGAGGTGGGCGCCTGGGAAGGGCGGCCGTGCGGTGACAGGCCCGTGGCTGGCCTGGCGGGACAGCAGGGGAGTGAGTGAGGCTTGGGGATGTGATGGCCTCAGGCTGCGGGAGCGTTTGCAGATCTTGGCTCCCGGCTGCTACGGGCTGATTTTGACAGTTTTACTCTGATTATAGTGTTATTTGCTCTGTTCCAAGTTCTCGGCGTTGCTCCCTGTAGACAGCTGTAAAGGCGTCAGGCCTCCTGAAGGACGTCAGCTTCTAAGGACTTGGGGGGTCCGTCCCAGGGGGGGCAGAACCACGGGGGCCGCACAGGCTTGCCCAGGCCCGCCGCCCCCACCGGCTGCTGTGTCCCTCCTCCCCCGTGGGCCCTCGCGTTGCTGGGGCTGTTCAGCGACGGTCTCTGTGTCAGCCGTGGGTGCTGCTGGGCCGTGGGGTGATAGTGTCCTGGGAGCCCAGAGGCTCAGGTGCATTCATTTGCTGAGGAATTGAGTTACTCTCTATTTGTTAGTAGTGGACTGAGTTGCTCACTCCCATTTTTTGGCAAGGACTCTTATTTATTTTGAAATTAGTTTTCTTGTGTTTAAACACTTTTTACTGAAATAACAGTCGCAGTAGGTTATACTGTGATCCTTGCCCACTGGTTGAAAAAAGTAATAATTTTATTGATGCACGTGACTGGGGATGTTTGGCTTGTTAGGACCATAAATCTAGAATCTTGGAGGCCCCCAGTTCCCACTCAGTTAGCGCTGGGAGGGTCAGTGAGTGAGTGACAGCAGAGTGAGCTGGTTAGAGATGCGGCAGTACCTGCCTGGTACCCTGGCCCGTCGCAGGGCTTCCCTCAGTGCTTCTCTCTCCCAGCCGCCTCCCCAGCTGTAGGTCTGTATTTCTTGCCCACCAGACCCCTCCTCCCTCCTTTGAATAAAATTCCTGTTTCCAATTGAAAGTGTTCACAGTTTGCTCTGCTACACATCAGTGTTTGTGTAAAATGTTATAAAAATGTTCCAGCTGGCCGGGGTGGTTCAGTGGTTGAGCATTGACCTAGAACTGGGAGGTCACAGTTCATTCCCCGTCAGGGCACTTGCCCGGATTGCTGGCTCCATCCCCAGTGGGGGGCATACAGGAGGCAGCCAGTCCATGACTGTCATCATCGATGTTTCTGTTTCCCTCTCCCATCCTCAAAAAAAAAATAATGTTTCAGTTACTTTCCTTCAAATGCAGTCAACATTCCAGGAAGATGAGGCCCACGGATCGCGTGTCCCTGGGATCCTGGTCCCCGTGTGCTGGGCCACCTGCAGCCACAGAGTGAGGCGGGGAGGCAGCGTGTTTGATGGAGGGTAGAGTTAGGAACCTCCATATGCCAGCAGGTGGGCAGTGCAGTGAGAGAAACAGCAGGGGGGAAGGAAGTGTGGACTTGGGCCCCCACCAGTGCGGAGGGCGAGGGGGCGGGAGTTCCCTTTCTCTGGCCGGATTTCTCACCTGTGGCTCTCTGACATTTGGGGCTGGATAGTTTTTGTTTTGCTGGACTGTCCTGTGCACTGACTTTCCTGTTGGTAACCGTCTCTGGCCTCTGCGCACTAGGTGCCAGGAGCACACACATTCCCACCTCCGCTGTGACAGTCGGCAATGCCTCTGGACGTTGTCAAGTGCCCCTGGTTGACATAAGAACCACGTGCTCTAGCCCAGAGCTTCTCAAACTCTAATGTGCAAGTGAGAGGACGATTCTGATTTGGTGTTTCTGGGGTGCACCCAAGACTCGGCATGGCTGTTGAGTGTCCAGGGGTGCTGTGTGCTGGATCGCAGGCCATTGTGGAGTGGTCAGGTGCTAGCCCACCTGGAGAAGAGGCCCTTAGAGTCGGTGACTCTTTGAAACCATTTGGTGTGTCTTCTGAGTCCCTTCAAGGCTGGAACTCACCTCTGTTTACCTGCCGTCTGTGGGGGGCAGACTCCTAAGGTGGTCCTTGATGGACCCATTTAATCCAACACTTGACTAGGGGTTGTGGCAACGAGATTTGCAAGTATAATTATGATCTCAAGTCAGAGAACCTCGGGGGGCCTTTACAGTGTGGTGGAGAGAGGAGACCAGAGCTCAGGTGCGGAGCAGGAGATAGATCCACACGTGGGAGACTCCCTGCGTGGCTGTGGAGCTGGAGAGGCCGTGGGGCAGGAGCTGTGGGTGGCCTTCCAGAGCCACAGCAGCCCATGGTGACAGCCAGCGAGGAAATGGGTCCCCAGTCCCACAGCCACGTGCGTGTGGGAGAGGGTCCTGAGTCCAGATGAGCACACAGCCCTACGGACGCGTGCTCAGCTGTGTGCCTGCCTTCTGACCGGCTGGACTGATACTCACGTTACTGGTGTTTACACAGCTAGTTTGGTAACTTGTTACACAGCAACGGGAGACCCTTTGCTTAATATACCCTCTTTTTTAAAAAACCCATTTAAAAAAATATATTTTTATTGATTTCAGAGAGGAAGGGAGGAGGAGAGATAAATGGAAACATCAGTGATGAGAGAGAATCATTGATTGGCTGCCTCCTGGAGCGAGCCTGCAACCCGGGCCTGTGGCCTGACCGGGAATCGAACTGTGACCTCCTAGTCCATAGGTTGATGCTCAGCCACTGAGCCACACACTGACATCTTAAACATACCCTCCTCTTCAACTCTGTCATCTTACCACACCGGCCGGGCTGCCCTCTTTTATAAAACGAGCCCACACACTGTCATCTTAAACATACCCTCCTCTTCAACTCTGTCATCTTTGCCCGTCGCCCAGCTCGGGAGCCAGCTTCTTCCTTCTTCCCCGGGGCTGGTGTGGGCCGTGTTGGGAGCTGGTGCCCCAGGAGTGAGTGTTGAATGAGCCACTCGCCTGTTTGACGTGGCGGCTCCTGAGGATTCTCTTTCCTTTGCATGGCCTGGCCAGCTGGAAGAGCGGGCGGAGCAGATCCGGTCCAAGTCTCACATCATCCAGGTGGAGCGGGAGAAGATGCAGATGCAGCTGAGTCACAAGAGAGCTCGCGTGGAGCTGGAGCGAGCGGCCAGCACCAGCGCCCGGAGCTATGAGGTGAGTGCAGGTGGCCAGCTCCTGAGACCGTGAGAAACGAGAGCCACACAGGCCAGGAGCCCAGGTGCCCTGCCTTCTGAGGCCCTGGTGTCAGCTGTGCCCCCTCCTCGCGGAGGCTGCGCAGGTGCCGGTGCTGCAGGCAGTCCTCCCCGTGGGCCTCCTGGCTCCCCTCCTCTGGAAGGACTGGGATGAGGATCCGGCAGAAATACCAGGTGGTGTGGGGTCAGAGGCTCAGAAGGTCACCAGGTTGCGTAGGGGTCTCGGGCCCAGGCTGGGTCTTGCTTAAATGGTTATAGGGCCTCAGAGCAGGGAGCCCCAATCTCGGGGCTGTTGCCTGTTGCCTGGCTCACCCATGGCAGGCTGGGACAGCACACTTCCTTACCCAGTGCTTCCTCGGCTGGGACCACAGCTCTTGGCAGGGTGTCGGGAAGCGCTGTGAGGAGTGGAGACGCCGCGAAGATCCAGGCAGCGCATCTGGTCTGGGCCTCCTGAGGGTGGATGTCTGCCCGGTGCTTGCACACAGGGCACATGCGCCTTCCTTGTCCCTCTAAACGGCTGGGGGCTGTGAGGGTGTGCTGTGACAGCATGTTTGACCCGGTGGACAGGTCCTGGCTGTGGTGTGCTGCGTGGGCTCAGTAGCCCAGAGGTCTGGCCTGTGGCTGGGGCACCTCAGCCTCGGCCTTGGCATTGGCCCAGGTGCTGCTCCGGGTGGTGTTTCTCTGTGGGTGGGACGTGATGTTGTGGGTTGTCCTAGGAGGGACCATCCTGGGGAACCGGTGGGAAGCAGGAGGGAGAGGCTGTGGGACTCGTACAGTGTTGGCGTGCCCTGACGGGTAGGGAGGTGGCACAGGCCGTGGACTGCGGGCACTGCGGGCGTGGTGGCACTGCCTGGCTCTCAGCGGCCTGGGATGTGGGCTGCTGGAGTGTCTCTGGGCCCTGAGTCCCGTGAGGACAGGGCCTGTCCTGACTGCCCTGGACCCCCAGTGTCCAGAACTGGCTGTGGCACCTAAAGGTGCTCGGCAACCCTGTGCACAAGTGAGGGGTGGCTGCAGGGTCACCAGACGTCTTTCTCGGGTAAATGCAAGGGCAGGGCCTCCTGAGCTTAGTCCTGGGGCCGCACTGAACTGGGCCCCCAGAGGCTTTTCCTTCCGGCCGCAGGCGGGCTGCAGGTGACCCCGGGCCGCTGAGTCGGGGGCTTTAAATTGCTCCTTTGAGTCTTGGGCATCTGCAGTGGTTTTTCAAGACTGTCATTGGCAGTGGGGGGAGGGGGCGGGGACAGGTGGGCGGGAATCTCAGCCCTCCCACCTGGAAATAGCTATTAGATGGTGAGATGCTGGTGTCTGGGGACCTGCCCACGTGCACCAGGAGTGGCCGCCGAGTGGAGATGCCGCACCTGCCTGTGGGGTGCAGCCGGAGCACCTCGCTGCTGCGCGTGCGTGGACGGTGCCTTTGATGCAGGGCCTCCTCGTAAGGCAGCCCTGGAGTGCCCGGCGGTCTTTGGAGGAGCTTCTGCAGCTCAGCTTTCTGGCCAGAGGTCCGAGGCCGCAGGGTCTGGCTCCATGGAACCAGGCTTGGCCCCCTGCACTCTGGTCCCACTTTCTAGTCCCATGGCTTCTTAGGCTGAAAGGAACCACCTCTGTGGCCGTGTCAGCCTTTATGACCCCAGGGATCATCAGAGGGAGGAGTCTTAGTTCCATGCCATGCTGCCCTGAGGGTCGAGTACAGGGTGGCTCTGCAGGTTGGCGGGAGATAAGGTGCCCTGGTGGTAGAGGGGGCCCGGGTCAGCTGCTCCTGCCTGCAGGCCACCTGTCCCGCCCGGGCACATGCCAGCTGTTACAATGGTCGCCTGTGTGCAGTCAGTGAAAGCTGCTGGGGCTGCCAGAGCCCGGGGCTTCTTTCCCACGTCCAGCCTGAGCGTGGGTTTCACCCTCACCTCCCCCTGCAGATGGTCTCCTGGACCCTGACACTGGGTGGTCCATCTGAGAGCCCGGGGGTCCCTGCGCCAGAGCCCTGACCAGCTTTTTCCGGGCTCCTGCTGGGTCTTCTCTGGGCCGGGGGCCTGGCCTGAGGGAGGCCGGGTGGGGCCGCCCTGCCCTGGCCGTGCTGACCAGGTCCTCCCTCTGGCAGCGTGAGGTGGATCGCAACCAGGAGCTCCTGACCCGGATTCGGCAGCTCCAGGACCGCGAGGCGGAGGCGGAGGAGAAGATGAAGGAGCAGCTGGAGCACCACCGGCAGTGCAAGCAGAGCCTGGACGCCGCCAACAAGAGGCTGCGGGAGAAGGAGGACGGCCTGGCCGAGGCCGGCGAGGTGCGGGCGCGTTTCGTGCTTTTAGTTCTGCACCTCTAGTTCTTTCCATCGTCATAGCAGAGCTACCGATTTTCCGTCCTGTGGTTTTCAGTGACTCAGCTGAACACCTTTCAGTCTCTGTAATCACGGTTGTTCATGGTTGGGGAACTGTTTCTTGTCGTTTTCAGAGCTTTGGTTTTTCATACACACCCCGTGCACGACCATGTGTAGCAGAGAGCTTCGTGCTGCCACTTTTTGCTGCCCTTGACTATGTCATTGGATCCATTCCTCGCAGAGGGCTGAGGGCCCAGTCGCCGTGGGCCCTGTGCTGACAGCGGGCGGGGGTTCTAGTCCCCCTGGGTCTCACCTGGCATGGGGGTGCGGTTTTCTGGAAATTCTTGTGGATGTTTCGTTTTGTTTTCCCCCAGAAGGTGTAGGTAGTTGCCTCTGGATTTGCATTTCTTTGATTGTCAGTGTGTGTGTGTCAGCGGGTGTTTGTCAGCGTGTGTGCGTGACAGTATGTGTCAGCATGT